ATTTTTCTAAATCTTTTTCTTTTTTCTTATTTCTTTTTTTTTTTCTTCATTTATTTTATCTTCATATCTTATCATTTAATTTTAAATAGCATGTCTTTTGTGTGGAAGCACTTCAAAAGGGAAACGGGCTACAAAGATAAAGCACGCTGTGACGTAGACTTGGGCAATCGAAAGTGTAGTGCTGTTCTTAATTGTGCTGGAGGTTCAACAAAGGGTTTGATAGAACATCTAAAGCGTGTTCATCAGATACTTGATCCATTGAAATCTGGACCGAGAACTAGCAACCAAGCTCAACCAAGCACAAGCAGCACTGGCAATCTTCCAGTAAAGAGGCAAAAGCTGATGACAGATTTTACTAGAGCATCGTTTGAGAAAACCATTTCTAAAGAAGTTGCTTTAAATGGATTGAACTTTGAACAGATCGTTAACTCAGATATAATAGCAGAGCATGTGAAAGAGAAGTTTCCAACGAAAAACTTCCCAAAGAATGGATCTGGTGTTGCAAAGATTGTTCGAGGTTTTCATGAAGACATCAAGGCTTAAATAAAATCGTGGATTCAAACTCATCTAGCTGAAGGACATTTCTTTTCAACAACCCTGATAAATGGACTTCTACTGCAAGGCGACGTTTCTTGAACATTAAACTTCATTATTTTGAAAATGGTGTTGATAAAGAAATCAATTTGGGCATGGTTCCAATTTATGGAAGTGCAACTGCTCTTAACATCAAAAAACTAGTAAGTTGATATTATAATCTTTTTCTTTTTTTAGGTTTCTAATCATTTTATTTTTTATTTTTCTATTAACAGTTCGAAGCAAGATTGATGGAATTTGGTTTGGATCCAGAGAAACACATTGTTGGCACTTCTGGTGATAGTGCGAGCGCTATGGTATCATTTGGTTCTATGATCGCATCAGAATACGTCCAGTGCAGCGATCATGGAATTCATCTGGGTGTTACTAAAGTTCTTTATCTAAAGAAACAGTCAGCAGATACTCCAGTGAATGACGACGACGATGATGTCTTTTTCGTTGAGTGTGGAAATGAAGATGAACCTGATGAAGATGTACATGATGCCGGTGAGGACACAGAATCAGACGATGAAGAGGAGGCCGATTCACTTCAAATGGTTTTCGCTTATCAATCAAAGATCACCAAATTGAGAAAAACTGTGAGCCTTTTCCATCGATCATCGGTCAAAAATGAAACTCTTCAAAAGTTCGTTAAGAGGATGAACAACGGGAGAGAACTTAAGCTGAAGTTAGATTCAAAGACTCGTTGGGGAAGCCTTCACGATGCTTGCGAAAGGTTCTTGAAGTTACTTGGACCTGTGAAGGAAGCTCTGAACCACAGGGAGATTGACAAAACCTACTTATGGGCAGATATTGACTCAAAAAGATTGGAGGAGCTGGTAGAAGTTCTGAGTCCAGCGAAGTTGGCAATTCAATTCTTGTCAAAGAAATCAGTAAATCTCATCGATTGCAACACAACTATCAAGTTTCTCTTGGACAATCTAGAAATGCATGATCATCAGCTCTCACAGGACATCTTCTTGGCTATCAAAGAGAAAATCAACAAACGCAGACATGACGTTTTTTAATCACTCATCCTTTACTTGCACGACATCAACAGCATTAATGGGCCGAATCACTTTGCTACATCGACTGTTGCAGCTATGAGCAAACTTGCTGTGAAATTGATGGAAAGACTCTTAAGTACTGAAAATGATGATTGTGTGGAACAACCTAAACAGCAAGAAGAAATATCACCATCAACATCACAGCAGGTTCAAAGAAGTTTAGCTGAGAAACTGACACTTGCCTTGAAAGCTTCAAGAGAGGTCACCAATAAGCAGGCGGGCAAAGTTATTGACTACAAAAAGGAGATGCAGATGTATGCGAAGACAAAATTACGCTCACCAACTCTGGATAGACTTTTCGAGGGACTGAATACAATACAAGCAACATCAGTAGCTGCAGAACGTCGTTTTTCGGAAGCAAATATTCTTGTGAGCAAAGTTTGCAATCGTCTTTGTGACGAGAACATCGGTGCTATTTCTTTTCTTAAATGTTATTTCCGAAATAAATTAATAAAGTAGATTCCAACATAAATGTTGAGTCCTTTGTGTTATTTTTTGATTAAAAATTTTCAGGTTTTAGAAAGAAAAAAAATACTGGAAAGCTCATTCCCGGTAACGGTAATTCCCGGGAATGAGCTTTTTCATTCCCGATATTCCCGAAATTGAAATTCCCGGGAATTTGAGGATCACTAATTATAAAACAAAACAAAAAAGTGAGCTCTAATTTATGGCCAATAGTGTATAAAGTATATATTATTACTTAAAAAAGCGATTAACAATAGTTCTCTTCTGGAGCCTAAATAATACTGGAAACATGACTTATAAAGGTTCATAGATCAAATGTAAATATGCCAAAAAAACAACTTTTTTTACAAATAATTACTAACGCAATTTAATTTAATAGAGAAGTGTATTCAAGAGTTCTACCTAAATTAAGTTAGCTACTTAAAAGATCTGGAATATGAGATTCTTTATTGCATGATTTTTTGTGTTAATCATATGTTCAACACAAAAATCATTTTAAGTGTTAACAAAAAAAACACTTAAGTGTTACTAGTGTTTATTACTAATAATCATTTGTATAAGTGATTCTGGTTTTCAACTTATTTTCTAATTTAGTATATAAATTGAAAACAAGAATTATTTATATAAAAGTCATCAATCAAACTACAATGCATGAGAGCGATATTTTAAATCAAATATTTTTATTCTTGACAAACTGTTTGGATTAATATTTAAAATTTGAAAAGTGTTGATATTTTTTCCTCCAATTTTAATATTAAAATTGAATAGTCAATAAAATTCTCTAAATACTGACACTGCTTACTGACTTTATTAGACTTTACTTGGTGGTAAACTACTTCTTAGTGGTAGGACTTTATTTTGTGATATACCACTGACAGAATCTATTTTTTCAGCAAGATTTGTTTGCACTTTTTGAATTTTATTTATTTTTTTTTTTTGCATAATCTTTATGATTTCTCTTATTAACATGCTTCATTATAAAAGGTAATTTTTTGGCCCTCCTAGATAAAATCTAGCACCGCGATCCTTGATTTTCAAGCTTAGTACAAAATTTTGTGGTAATCTTAAAGATCAGGAATTGTGGTGTTGGACTTTTTTTGGGAGGGTCAGACTTTTTTTTTTCGCAGTAGGCATGCGTTGTTTAATTTTTATCATATTTAGACTTATAATATTAAATTATACTACTTTTTGGTAAGAAATCAACAAAAATCCCACAACAAAATATAAAGTATGTGATAATAAAAAAAAATTATGACTATAAAATTTTGAGAATGTAAGGTACTTTTACCGTAAAATTAACTTTAATCAATTTTCAATTCTCTAATAATGGTAATGTTAAATTGTTCTTATAAAAATTTTCTTTTTATTTTATTTTAAAAGTAGTTGCTTTTTTATGTTTTATCATTTAGAAATGCAACTTTAAATTTACAAGTATGAACATATATATTAGCAGATTAAAAGTTTTAGGTTGTTCTACGTTTAATTTTGGTTCAAACGAATTATTAATCTGTGTTTCAAAAAAAACCCAAAACATTTGTTGCAACTTTATCTCCTTAAAGATTTTAAACTTTCCCAGTGAGCACGGTACGTTAAAAAGATGTCTTTTAAACGTCTTTTGAACGTTTTGGACGTCTTTTGAACGTTTAAAAGACGTCTTTTTTAGGTCCATACATACTTACATACATACATACATACATACATACATACATACATACATACATACATACATACATACATACATACATACATACATACATACATACATACATACATACATACATACATACATACATACATACATACATACATACATACATACATACATACATACATACATACATACATACATACATACATACATACATACATACATACATACATACATACATACATACATACATACATACATACATACATACATACATACATACATACATACATACATATGTATGTATGTATATTTACATTCTATAAGAAATGTTTTAGTTTGTCAATATTAACAATATTGACAAACTAAGACATTTTCTTATAGAATGTAATTATTTGTTCAGTATGATTTGCCTAACAGAAACTTGGTGTTCTGACGAATCAATCAGAATTAATTTAAACCTATTAATTCCAAACTACAAACTATTGTTGTATGAGCGAAAAGTTCAAAAACAAGGTGATGGAATTATGACATATTCTCATAACGATCTCACAACTAAAATTAGAGACGATCTTTCAGTTTCCGATGCCGATGGTGAGGTCTTTACAATTGAAATAATAAACAAAAAATTAAAAAACATACTAGTGCCTACCTGTTACAAATCACCTGAAGGTGATATAAAAAACTTTTCAAATCACCTAAAACAAATATTTCTAAAAAATAACAAAGAGCACAAAATATTATCCTGTATTGGTGACATAAATATAAATTGTCTACAGTACAATAAAGATGCTGTTACTAAAACTTTTTTTGACAATATGTTTCAACACTACATAAAAAATAAAAAAACTTTACATAAAGTATTTAAAAAGTAGAAATGAAAAAAATCTAAATACTTACAAACAATACAAAAATTTATTTAAAAAAATAAAAAGAAAGTTCGAAGAAAATTTACTACTCGAACCAAATAAAAAATGCAACTGGTGACATTAAAAAAACATGGAATACTATAAAAGAAATAATTGAGAACAAAAAAGTTAAATCAAATAATTTACCTTCTTAAATCGTCATAGATAATATAGATGACAGTGAAAAAAATACGATTGCTGAAAAATTCAACAAATTTTTTGTTAACATTGGCCCTAATCTTGCCTCAAAAATTAAGTCTCCTAATAACTCATTTAAATCATACCTAAGTGATACCCAGAGCGAACTAAAATACAAAGAACGAAACTACCCAGAACTTAATGTTGCTCTAAATTCCTTAAAATTAAATAAAACTCCAGGTATAGATGATATCTGTAGTAGGGTAGTGGCAAATGTCTTTATAACAATAAAAAACCTATATTTGAAATTTTTAAGTCTTCGATTAAAACAGGAGTTGTATTGGACAAGTTAAAAGTAGCTAAAGTACTACCAATATTTAAAACAGGTGAATCATATCTAATTAATAACTATAGACCTATTTCGGTACTCCCTACCATTTCTAAGCTTCTCGAAAGAGTAATCTATAACAGATTGTATGAGTATTTAATCCACAATAAAACCCTAAATAAAAAGCAATTTGGTTTCCAAAAACAATATTCAATTGAACACGCAACCCTAGATCTAGTTAACAATATAAGTGATTCTTTTGATAAAAAACAGTATGTTTTATGGATCTTTATAGACCTGTCAAAAGCGTTTGATACTGTAAGTCATAATATCTTACTTAAAAAAATGGAAAGCTATGGAATAAAAAACACTTAACTGATTCAAAAATTATTTAAGCAACAGACAACAATGTGTTTTTTCAGATAATTATAAACACTCAAAACTACTAAGAGTTGAGTGCGGTGTCCCCCAAGGTTCTATTCTTGGACCTCATCAGTTTCTTCTATATATTAACGACCTTACAAAAGTCTTGAAAAACTTGATGTAATTATGTTTGCCGATGACACAAACTTATTTTATTCCTCGAACTCAATCAAAGACCTTTATGAATGTATGAACAACGAGCTTAAAATATTAAATATATGGTTGAAATTAATAAGTTACCATAATAAATACACTAAGTTACCAGTACCAAATACAATAAGTTACCAGTAATAAATACACAAAAAACAAAATATATATTGTTTCATTCCAAAAAACAAAAAAATAATATACCAACTATCCTTTCCTCACTAAAAATAGATAAGGTAAACATTGAAACAACAGAAACAACTAAATTTCTTGGGATATTTATTGACGAAAATATATCTTGGAGAGCTCATATAAATACAATAAACACCAAAATTTCAAAAAGAATTGGGATACTCTACAAAGTTAAACCTATGTTGTCCCAACATAATCTTAAATCGCTATATTTTTATGACATCCAAAGTTATCTCACGTACACTAATATTACATGGGCAAGTACACACAAATCCAAACTGAGTACTGTTTATATAAGTCAAAAACATGCATCAAGGTTAGTTTATAATAAAGATAAACTCACCCATGCTGAACCCTCACTAAAAACTTTGAATGCACTAAATGTTTACCAAATCAACACCTACCAAAATGTACTATTTATGCTTAAATACAAACTTCGACTAGTCTCATCGCATTTTTTAGATAACTTCTTTCAAGTAAACGCTAATGGATATATAAAAAGAGTAACAGGCAACTTCACACTGCCTAAAAAAACAACAAAGTTCTTACGGTTTTTTATTTCCTACCGGGGTCCGTTCTTATATAACAAAATAATATCAGTAGTAGAGAATTGCCGGTTCTGGCTCATTTTATTTTAACCATACTCATACCCATAATTTTTTGAAATTTTTAAACCATATTCACAACCATAATTTCTGGCCTATTGTCATAAAATTCACGCATTGTCATAAAAAAAAAACTTTTTATTTATGGTTCATCATAACCATAGTTTCTAGCTCATTTTCATAAAAATTAAAAAACAATTTTTTTAAATTTT